TTATTCACCACCTTGATGTGTTTAAAGGTTTCAATCATGTCTCCCCTTTCCCTCCCTTATTTTACTAACACATGCAGTGGCTCTCCATGCTGTATGAGCTGTATTTAGCCTCAATTACAGTATACAGCACTGTGTTCCACCAGTGGGATGGAAACTTCCCTTCCCACTCCGGGTACAAAATTGAGCCAGGTTGAGTGCTGCTTAGCTATTCACAGGGAGCTTTTTATTTTCTAAAAAAATACAGTTTTCTCTGATTGGCTGAGTCAGAGAGGCAGGTGCATGATGATCAGCCAATCAAAAATGTAATTTGAGTGCAGTAATTTGCTCGCCTTGGCCCATTGCACAAGAACGTTGTGTAAATGAGACTATTATACTACAGGCAATGAAGAAGAATTTTACTCCTCTATACGCTTACACACCTTTACTCGCCTATACCCAGCATTACTCGGGTCTTTACACACAGTTTTTGTCCCCTTGCACATGAGTGTCACAAGTTCCTGAGTAAACATCAGTAAATTATAATGCCCATGTGCAAGGGACTTTAGGGCTAATTCACACCAGTTGCGGAGTGCGGTCTGGTGGGATCATTGCAGTCTGTTGTGAATGAACCCTAAATGTATTGAAGCAAACGACAGCCAGGCATTTAGCTTTATCATAAAGCTGCCAGCAAAGGCAGCCTCCATATTTCTCTCAATACAGATTTGTAGTACACGTACACAGTGAATTTGTTTATTTTTCATCCACTCTTTCCATATGAAAATCCTATTTACCCAAAGTGAAAAAGTATTTGCCCCCTTCCTGATTTTTGTTATTTTTTTTGCATATTTGTCACATTTAAATGATTCAGATCATATTACACATAGATAACTCAAATAAATACAACATGCAGTTTTTAATTATTTAAATGATGGTTTTAATTTATTAAGGGAAAAAAGCTGTTCAAATCAGCCTGCCCCCTCCCACCTTGCTAATTCATGAATGAACTGTGATTTAACCACATTTTTTGGAAAGCTGAGGAAAATTTCACTTGCCACGCCCAGGCCTGATTACTGTCAGACATGCTGAATCAAGAAATCACTTAAATATAAGCTGTCTGACAAAGTAAAGCACTTAAAAGTCTCAAAAAGCAACACATGCTGTAATCTACAGAAATTCTAGAACAAATGAGGAAAGTAATTGACATGTATCAGCCTAAAAAAGGGTTACAAAGCCATTTCTAAGGCTTTGGGACTCCAGCGAACCACTGTGAGAACCATTATCCACAAATGGAGAAAACTTGAACAGTGGTGAACCTTCCCAGGAGTGGCTGACCTATCAAAATTATTCCAATAGCACAATGACGATTCATCCAGGAGGTAAAAAAAAAAATCCAGAACAACATCTAAAGAACTGCAGGCCTCACTTGCCTCAGTTAAAGTCAGTGTTCATGATTCAGCAGGCATCCATGGGAGAGTTCCAAGGCGAAAGCCATTGCTGACCAAAATAACACAAAGGCTCGTCTCACATTTGCCAAAAAACATCTTGATCATTCCCAAGAGTTTTGGGCAAATATCCTGTGGACTGATGAGACAAAGGTTGAACTGTAGCATCTTGTTACATCTGGTGTAAAACTAACTGCATTTCATAAAAATAACTTGGTGGTAGTGTGATGGTCTGGGGCTGCTTTGCAGCTTCAGGACCTGGACAACTTGCCATAATTGATGGAACCATGGGTTCTGCACTGTACCAGAGAATTCTGGAAAAGGAGGATGTCTGGCCATCAGTTTGTGACCTCAAGCTCAAGTGCACTTTGGTTATGCAGCAGAATAATGATCCAAAACACACCAGCAAGTCCACCTCTGAATGGCTTTTTTTCTGTTAACCAATTGCCCTCCAGACGATTTACCACCTTCATGACCAGGCCATTTTGTGTGATATGGCACTGAGTTACTTCACCTGACAATTGCGCAATCATGTAGTACTGTATATAAATACAATTTTTTATTTTTTCCCCCACAAATAGAGATTTTTCAGTAGCATTTCATCACCTCTGCGTTTTTTTATTGTTTGCGCTATAAACAAAAAAAGACTTACAATTTTGAAAAATAAATTTAGGCCAAAGTGCATTCTGCTGTATGTGTTTGCTAAAAAAAAAAATCAATATAAGTGTATATTAATTAGTTTGCGTGAAAGTTATAGCGTCCACAAATGATGGTATATATACTGGTATTATTTTTATTTATACTAGTAATGATGGTGATCAGCGCCTTGCGGCAGGCATTCTGACACTGGGTGGGAACTGACTAACTGCCACTGACATCGCTAGTGACACTTATACAGTAATCAATGCTAATAAAAAGCACTGACACTGTACTAATGACACTGGGCAGGAAGAGGTTAACTTCTCGGGTGATCAAAGGGTTAACAGTGTGCTTGTTTTGTGTTTTAATGTGTGCTGTTTTACTAGGGAGATCTGCTGCTTTCTGAGATAGAAAGCAGCATGTCCATGTTGCTTTACACACAGATCTCTCCCCTCTCAGCTTCGCCGTTGATCACCAGGTCCCGGCTCGGAATCGATGGCCAGGACCCAGTGATTGACATCCTCAGGAGCCAATTGTAGCACGGGTAGGGTGGCGTGCGCACTTCCTCCCTACCCAGAAATGCAAAAAATTTTGCACAGCGCAGCCGCCCTGTAGCAGTATATCTGCTCTGGGGTGGTCGTCAGGTGGTTAATAAATGAAATCATTTAAAAACTGCATTTTGTATATACTCGGGTTACCTTTTGTGTAATAACATTTGATGATCTGAATCATTTATGTGTGACAAATATGCAAAAAATAAGAAATCAGGAAATACTTTTTTCACATCACTGTAACTGCATTATTACCAAGTGTCTTGTAAAGTAAAGAAATATTGTGGTAGATGCTCTTGGTCATAGCAACAAATTTGTTTCCTTGTTTAATTTTTACTGCTCAGGTTTGAAATTTAAAAAGGTAAAATCTGGTTGGTATGATAGACAAGCCTGAGGTTTCCTAAATCAGGACCATTCTGTTTTCACATCAGTTGTAATCCAATAATGCTAATAAATACCAAGGTTGTACAGTAAACATTATAACAATACTAATCTTGCAATGAAGCAAGGTTCACACTAGCCTGCTCAGTAAATGCAGGGTTCTAGCACATCACGTGTTTTTTTTCCTTAATGGCACTGCACAGCAGCACGGTGTGTTGCACTACTGTGCATTGATATATGGTGCCATCCAATTCAGTCCTGAAAAATGCAGATATGTTGCATTTTCCTGCACTGCAATGTACATCATACCAGTGTTGTGGTGTGAACTGGGCACATGGAAACCAATTGTTTTTTCTTTTTGCCCTAGTGGTGACTTGCATTTATGTAGTGCGAAAAAACACAGGCCAGTGAAGGAGCCCTAACTGTTCTAAGGCTTTTGCCTTTGACACATTTAAAGTGTAAACTCCTCACCACTTTAATATATATCAGACTTTTTAAAACAAGAACTTAAAATAATGAAAGTTTTTTTTTTTTCTTTTTTTTTTTTAAGGGGAATCTACAAATAAATATTGTACATGAAAACAGTGTGTTGTATTGGAAGTTGAACATAACGTAGTACAGATTGTGCACAGTATATATAATTTTGCATATGTCATTTATATATTGTTTAATTTATCTTTTTTTTTTTTTTTTTTTCTTTCATGTAGTATAATAATAGACAAGTTGAGAATATACACAAGAGATAGATGGCATAATACAATGGTGATAGAAATTTTACAAGTTTGAGTTACGAGTTTGATTGTAGTGGATGCAGCGGAGCTTAACTGTATCCGACCACCAAAAACTAAAACTCACACATCCATCCATGTCTCCATGCTTTATTTTGTTGAGAAATCACTTTAGAAAACACCCCCGTGCATTTTTAGCCACGGCCATCTATAGAGTAAGGGCAAATGATTCATATAGCGCTTACTTCTTGGAATCCATCTACTTTTAGAACAGGCATGCAGAGAGGAGGATGCGCTTAGCTGAGAAAGCCCCTCTTCCCCAACCCCAGATGAAAGCAAAAAAATGTCCTAAAGGACTCATGGGATGTATGACATCATTTTGGCTTAGGCAAGAAAGCAGGAAGTAATCTAAAAAAAAAAAAAACAAGTAAATATAATATACTGTACCTTTTCTATCTCTTTCTAAGGCATGCAGCATTAAAAATAGGTAAGGTTGATTGAGAGAGAAAAGTTCTGCTTTTGGTATATTGAGCAATAAAAATATCCACCAACCGTTGATGATATCATGCTGTCAACAGAAACAACTGTTCAGAAGATTATTCATAAGCCCTGTGCAAAAAGAAAATAGAAAAAAAGCAAAAGGTGGGGGGAGTGTTGCCCCTTCTGGATTCCCAAAAGACCCATGGAACCTCCAACATATTTATTTTATATTATGGTATTTTTATTATTCCTTTGCATCAGACTGCTTTTGAATGGCTAAGTCCTACAGATTTACTATTGGATGTTGCCAGAGAACAGTTAAAAAGGTACTTTCCAAAAAGTATCGGTGTTGCCTCTGCATTAAAAAAGTTTCATGGTTCTATACAGTATGTCATGGACAGAGTCCCCGGTGTCATGTATGAGAGACTCAGCAGCTGATAGGGGGATGGGATTTGTGTCGTCCTTCCTGGGGGGTGAAGGGCAGGATAACAGCTGTTGTGGAGAGGTCCCTGATCAGTGTGGTTCACAGCTTGTGTGATTTGTTCCTGTTGCTTCATGTCTCCTAAGTGAGCTTGTGTTTTGATGTGAATGTCTGTCTGTCTTATGGTCATTTGCAGCTTCTCTGTTCTTTGCGCTCACTTAGATTACTTAAGTAGCTCATTTCCCTGCAGTTTTTTTCATCATACTTCTCATTACTACTGCACCTTGCCTTTCTCTGGCACATTCTCCTACTTCTGCACAGGACATCATAATCTTTCCTCATCAGTTCCATCTTTCTACCTTTTGGTGCCTCTTCTGACATGAGTGCACTCACAAACTCTATTTGTGCCTTGGTATGTATCTGCTCGCAGCTGTGTGCCCGCATACTGGGCAGTGTGTGTATGAGAAGAGGGTATCACTTGTGGCTGGCAGCAGTGGTCAGTGTCACCCCATTCCTTCAAGGACTTAGTAACCCACGCAGCATTTTCTCCAACTCCAACAACTTCTTCAATGTGTGAGTATATCTTTATGCATGGACGTGTGACTATGGGCATATTGCAAATTGAGTCATCATAATGTTCATGTCTGGAACATTAAGTAGCAGTAGAGACAAATCAAAGTATAAATGTATTTTAGGTGTTATACATATTGGGCTTTATGTCTAATAGGATAAAGAAGGCAAGAAAATGCCTTGAGTGGCATAATTAACTCAGTGTCTGCTTTTATATTGCATCCTAAAATTTAGAAACGCTAGTATAAATCAGATTGGTTGTTATGAGAAATAAACTTCTCCACTCATTCACTCAGTGCCTGTTATGTAATCAAGCAAAACTAAATTCAGACACATAAAAGTACGTATGTATTTTCAGACATATAATCCAGGCCTGCCTGCTTTTTTTCTCAACTGACTGCAGTCCTGGATAAATTTTGTGAAAGTTCCCCTCTGCACTTATAATTGGCACAGATATTGTGACAAAATTCTATATAGCTTCAGACGATCAACTACTTTATAGTGTGCTTCCTGGAGCAATATATCTTTCCTAGTACTATGTAAAGTATCCCTATTTATGTAAAGCCCATATGCTACTGTTTAGTGTGCTGTGAATGTATTTACTTACCAAGCAATCCTCCGACTTGCTTTTCTGCTACTCTACATACCATGGTTATTTATATTGCCAGCCATCCCTCTGTATTTAAATGCCAAGCCATCTTCTGGCTCCTAGATAATGCCATTGAAACATGGACAGGGATTTGTGAGAACTGGTACACAGGATCATTTACTGTTTATTTCAAGAAGATGATTTTATCTATAAAATGATTTTAAAACAATCTGACACATTAACATTTTTCATCAGTTGAAGACCTGAGAAGTGTCCATTATTGAAACCAGCCCCAACAATTCTTTTTAAACTGATCACACCCTAGATAACTAAAATTTGCCCTTAGGCAGTGAATGTGCAATTCACGAATCAATTCATTGATTTTATTGTGGTTGTTTACATACAAATTGATGTATATTTATAAAGCAGTGATTGTGACTTTTACAAAACATTCATTGGTGGTGAATCAATCATTGTCATTTAAAACACATAAAACAGGAAAATTCACCAAAGGTGGATGTTTTAAAATGTCATATTCACTGCTTTATGAATATACACCAAAACATATGTAAACCTCAACAATTCGTTTTTCTTCCTTGTTCTCTTTTGGTCTGTTAGAATCCTGTTTTAATCTGTTTAACAAGTGCAAAAAAAAGTTAATCCTGCCAGAAATCCAGTGGGTTTGTATAGTAATGGGAAAGTTAAAGTGGTTGTAAAGGTTCAAGGTTTTTTTACCTTCATGCATAGAATGCATGAAGGTAAAAAAAAAAACCTCTGTGCAGCATCACCTCAGCCCCCTATCACTCGCCTAAGCCCTCCTTCAATCCAGCAATGTGCACTGCATTCTCAACTATCTTCTTCTTGGCTGAGACAGCATTGGCTCCCACTGCTGTCAATCACAGCCAGTGAGCCAATGAGAAGAGAGCAGGGGTGGGGTCAAGCAGCAGCCCTGTGTATGAATGGACACACAGAGCAGCGACTTGGGAGTGTGCATGCTCTGGTGCCCCCATAGCAAACTGCTGGCTGTGGGGGCACCCGACAGGTAGGGGCCAGGAGCGCCGGCAGGGGACCCAAGAAGAAGAGGATTAGGGTTGCTCTGTGCAAAACCACTGCACACAGCAGGTAAGTATAGACATGTTTGGTATTTGAAAAAAAAATGTAAGCCTTTAGAATCACTTTAAGTGTGCCTCCTGTAATTTTGTTGACTTTTTCAACATATTTGAACAAGCAAACTTTAGCTCTCCATTCAAACAGTTCCTACAGATAAAGGCGATATTCTTAAATACACATAAACAAAGAAATGTTTTCTTTTTCATCAGTTATTCACAAAACTATCAATATATGTAATGATGTACTGTGGAAAAAGTAAGTATACTCTTGGTCTCAGAAGATATTATTGCTTCCTTTAGCAGAAATTACTTCTTGTAGGCATTTTGCATAACTACCCACTGTTCTCTGACATTGACAATGAGATTTTGGACCACTGCTCTATGCAAAATGTCTTCAGGTGCAAGATGGTTTCCTTGCATTCTTGTTTTAAATCTACAACATTTCAATGGAATTTCGAATCAGATTTTGACTAGGCCAATCCATTTCTTGTTTTTAAATTATTCTTTGGTAGATTTGCTAGTGTGGTTTGGATCCTTATTGTGTTTAAAACTCTATTTTCAGTTTAGGTTCAGACAGATGGCCTTACATTCTCATCGAGCACACATTGATATGATTCAAAATTGATTGTTAATGTATTTGCTGCAAGATGCCCAGCCCATAAAACAGCTTTGAAAGAAAGCCCAAACCTTAAAGCCTAACTCCAGGTTTTAGTGAACTTTAAATAAATTGTTTGCACCATTCTGGTCTAAACAAATTCTTTCACTAACACATGCAGTGACTTTATGTGCTATATAAACTATATGCATATGGAATGTGAACTTCCTGTCCCACTCCAGGGGCTCACAGGTGGCTTTGAGTTTGAATAATTAAAAGGCTCATAAAACACATTCTCTTACCCCCACCCCAATCATCATTTAGTTAAAATACTTGAATGAAAAGTTATTATTTAATCCCTTATGACTCGCGCTTCTGCTTTCCCTACTGTATATATTCTTCCAAATTGGAGGAGACACTTTGCAGTATCTTGAAGTGAAGGACTGGTCCCAGATATGAATGACAACAAAAACTAGTTCCTTTAGACTTTAGAAACAAACTTTCAAATTGTTTCTCCTCGGTGGTACTTGGTACCATCACATGTTGCAAATTCATTTCAGCATAATCTTTGGTCAAACACCTACAATATGTTATGTATGCTTTTCCAGCAACATTTCAATCAAAACCCAGCTAAAAACTACTCTTTATGTGACCAGACAGAATCACGCACTCCCAGTGTAAGCTCATGAAACCCATCTTTATAGAAACCAGACTTTAGTGAAAGCCTGAAAAGTCACCAACTTAGATCCATCTTAAAACCAAGAGGTTTGATCCAGAGTATCATGGTGGATGTCCAAAAATAAAATGAATGATAAAATGTTCCTTTTTAGGAAGGTGTTGTCCTCATGAATCCAGCACTACCTCCCAACCAACACTACCCCCTCATCTCCCTGATTTTTCCTATTTCTATTGTCTTCTTCTGTCATTTGATGCATTGGAGCACTCTTCATGGCAGTGCACCATAGTGTCATGAAATGGTGCATATTTGCGACATGGGCATGCATTGTACCTTGTGTACTGTAACCTTGTCAATGTAGCGTATTACACTGGGCCACCCTTTTATTCCTTTGTATTCTAACAAGGAATCCTTAACTTAGAAAAGTTATCACTTTCGAAATATACCTGTTTGTAGACCCAGTGACCTCATACAAAACAGCACCTTTCCTCTGAGAGTCCCCCCAAGCAATGGGCAGGCTCTTGAGCGTGTGTATGCTAATTTTGTGTGGCCTGTGGGTGGATGCACATTACAGGGGACCCACAAATGACTGAGCAATACAAAGACTGCCCACTCATCATAGGGGCTGACCAAAGAACAGTTCAGAAAGATATTAAGGGGAAGTAGATGGGCAAATATGACCAATGAGGAAGAGAGGGATTTATGATGTGTACAGTTCAAGCCTGAAATTAGTCAGGGCTGAGCTAGCTGCTTCAGTTTCATAAACTGGAATTGGGGGTTATGAAAGTACTAACTTTGAACATAGGAGAGGACCTGCTACAAATGAGGAAGAAAAAGGTAAGGCTGTTCAGCTTAATATTTCTACCACCATGTTTCACAAATGGCAGGAGTATGGTATCTTCTCTTAAATGCTGTCTTTGGTTTTTGCCAAACATGTCTATTGGTAATATGGTGAAACAACTGTATCTTTGATTCATCAGTTCACAGAACATTGTTACTTTGCCTTTTTGTTCAATGGCAAACTGTAGTCTTGTTCTAATGTTCTTTTTGGACAGCAAAGGTTTTTGTTTTGCACACCTTTCATGCAGCTAAATTGATGCAGGCTCTTTCTGAATGTAGATGCATGCACTTGGACACCAACTGAAAGAGTTACCTGCAGATTCCAAAATCAAATTATGGGAATTCTTTCAGCATTAAAACTTCAGCTCTTGGGCTGAATTTGCTGAGCTAGCCAGTCCTTGACAAATTAGCAGTCAACTGAAATCTACACTATATTGCCAAAAGTATTGCCTTTACATGCACATAAACTTTAATGGTATCCCAGTCTTGGTCCGTAGGGCTCAATATTGAGTTGGCCCACCCTTTACAGCTCTAACAGCTTCACTCTTCTGGGAAGGTTGCCCATAAAGTTTAGGAGTGTGTCTATGGGAATGTTTTACCATTCTTCCAGAAGCGCATTTTGTGAGGTCAGGCACTGATGTCGGACAAGAAGGCCTGGCTTGCAATCTCTGCTATAATTCATCCCAAAGGAGTTCAGTCAGGTTGGAGTCAGGACTCTGTGCAGGCCAGTCAAGTTCCCCCACCCCAAACTCGCTCATCCATGTCTTTATGGACCTTGCTTTGTGCATTGGTGCACAGTCATGTTGGAACAGGAAGGAGCCATCCCCAAATTGGATTTTTCCCACAAAGTTGGGAGCATGAAATTTGTCCAAAATGTCTTGATATGCTAACGCCTTAAGAGTTCTCGTGGCACTTATCGTGGAACTAAGGTCCCAAGCCCAATCCCTGTAAAAATAACCCCCCCGCCCTGAAAAATAACCCCCCCCTTCCACCAAACTTTACACTTGGCACAATACAGTCAGGCAAGTACACCGTTCTCCTGGCAACCGCCAAACCCAGAAATGTCCACCGGATTGCAGACAGTGAAGCGTGATCCGTCACTCCAGAGAACATGTCTCCACTGCTTTAGAGTCCAGTGGTGGCATGCTTTATTTACACCACTGCATCCAATGCTTTGCATTGAAACAGCACTTG